ATCGTAATTCCTCACAAGAAGGATCAAACTTCCAGGTGCGGTGCACTGTCAATGCAGCCGCCGGGTCCCCTGTCGCCCACCCGCGCCCGCACGCCCTATCGGTTCTTGAGCATGGACCCGAGGAAGATCTGCTTGAAGGTCACGGCGAGGCGCTCGGTCTGGTCGGCGATGAACGCGTGGCCCGGCGCGAGGCCCCTGACGATGGCCGCGGCCTCGTCCTCGTTGGACGAGATGAGGACGACGTAGGCCTGGACCTCCGGGTGCCTCGCCATGAGGATGGCGTTCCAGGCCTCGGGCGTGATGCCGTAGCGCTTGAGGTCCGCGTCGGAGACGACGAAGACGAAGCGCTCGTCGGCGTCGCCCGCCGCGGCGTCGTCGACCGCGAGGCGCGTCGCCTCGAGCGTCGAGTCGCCGGAGTGGGCGAACTGGGCGTGCGCCGCGAGCCGGCGGGCGATGGCGAGGCGCTCGGCGTCCGTCGCCACGGGCCGGCCGAACTCGACGAGGCGCTCGGCCTCGGGGCCCGTGCCCGAGTGGCCGACGACGGCCAGGTCGTACTTCGCCTCGAAGCCCGCGAAGGCCTGGGCAGCAAAAGGGTGATTCAACGTCGCTTCAACATGAGTGTCTCGCGCGCGCGCGTTCCGGAAAAAGCATCCACGCTTCGAGACCGTTCCGAGAGATGATCGCTCGTCCAAGAATTAGCCAAAACGAGTGGAAAACGGCCGAGATAGGAGCCTTTGAAGTTGGGAATTTCGCTCTCTTGTGCTGCCCTGGCGAAGGCCTCGAGGATGAACACGGCGGCCTCCTGGAGGCGCCGCAGGCGGTCGTCGATGCGGTTGAACGTGTACATGGAGCCCGAGATGTCGAGGACGAACTTGATCCGCTTCGGCGTCTTCGGGCGGAAGAGCGCGCCCGCGTCGGCCTCGACGCCGCGGCGCCGGTAGACGTCCGGGGCGCCCGCGACGCCGTCGACGAGGCGCGCCTCGTCGAGCTCGCCCTGGGTCTGGTGCCGGAGCCAGGACCGCTCCTTCTCGCGGGCCTCGTGCGACTCCAGGACCGTCCGGAGCTGCGAGACCTGGGAGGCGACCGCGGCCTTGAGGGACGCGTACTCGCCGGCGTCGTGGCCCGCGA